ATTCGAAGCTCCCAATAAATCATGGGGGACAGACAATTTCCACTAATGCGTTGGGAAGTGTATCCTATTCATAGGAAGGTTACAGCACTAGTATACGGGTTTGCTATATGCCACTCCAACTCACTCGGCAAATGTCACTTGAGAATGAACAGATTCTGAATTTCAAGAGCACAACTACGTCGAGTGACAATTTACCACGACCAACTTTGGAAATCTCAAATTTCACAAAATTTTATATTTTGTTTATCTCATTTTATTTTATTTAATACATTATACTGGTGTAATTTATATAATGCCATTACCACTGCACTCCACTGTTGACCATCCTACGCTTCCTTCGGATATGAAACAAACTCCAAATATGATAGCCGGCTATGACATATGAGCACTTGCGGACGCACAACGGTGAGACCACTAGGGCGTGGCCGGGTTCGAGCTCGACAAGTTTGTTGCTTTTAACAAAAACGTTATAATGCCTAATGAAGGATTCATGAGGTGAAAAAAAGACGTATCCATTAAAGAAAAGAGGTCATCAACGTGGTTTCTGTTTTACTGCTTGACTCGGTTTGTCAAAAATTAGATAAAAGAAATTCCATGAAAAACTGGACCGAATTTTTGCACGTCTGTATAAAATTCTCCGGACTACAGTCAGCCTCGCGAACTAGTGGCCAAGCTTCATGGCTTTGACTGTACAAGTATTGCTACCGGAGTAAGTTGTCGTCGATGGCTGGCTGATACGGGGGGGGGATCCTGGTTACTCATATTCTGAAATCGATCTTTAAATGCGCAAATTTATTCTAAATGTCTCTGTGTTTACTTTCAGCAGAAACAACCCTAATAGTAATTGATGAAACATAAAACGAGGAAAAATTTCAAAAGACAACCTTATCGCATTGTCAAGATAAGTTAGTCGAAAAAGTATGCGATGTCCCATAAACACTTAAAAACCTTCCAAACCCAGCAGTTTCGTTGAGGAAATTTTTACCTGAACTTGTCAGCTTGATCAAACAGGTGATTATATAGCACCTAGTAAACGTGACTGTTCTCATAAAGCTAGAAGGAGATAATGACATAATTGGTTAAATCTTCAAGAAATGGGCTCATCGTACACTAGAACAAACTTCATGCCAACAATTGACAAGCTATTCAAAATAGCAGATCACGCCTTTAATAAATGTCATTTCTACTGCATAGAGAGATAACTCTATCAACTCTACTTGAGAATCCAAAGTTTGAAAATCCGCAAAAAACATGTTTTTTAGAATAGAATTGGAAAGATGGCAGGTTAGAAACATTTTGCGGTAGAAAAAGGTTACGATTATTATGGTACTGAATGAATAAAGATTTGCAAAGATTATAACGCTATAGCCAAATATATCAACATGGCAAGAGAATTTTGAATTTCGGGCAGCATTCGGACTTCTGACGAATGTTTTTTTCTTCGTGTTAAATTTCTCTGCGGGGGCAGAGTAAGAAGGCATCGAATGCTGAGCAAAATCAGTAAAGGATCTGATGAATTAAAGTCAATAATCATTTCAAAAAAGTGATTCCAGCACTAGTCATTTTACAGTCCAATAAAATGGAAAACCTGGGACTTTTAAAGGCGGCATTAAAATAGCATCTTCTGATACACCGATTGCACAGCTGTGTCATGTTAAAGCCTGAGAATATCGATTTGTGTGTTTCTTTTGTAATGAAATGTTAGGTTTTCGATCAAAGTTCATTAAATTTCGCTGTTCATATTGCCATCGCTCAATTTTAGCGATCTTATGCATCTTTATTGGCACAGCGGCAAATGTACTAATAATCTTCCACAGCTTACTTAAGTACCTGTAGATCAAATTATTTCCTGTAAAATGTTGTGCGAATTGAATAGAAAGTGATGGATGCTTGAAGTTGACAGAATGACTTCATATCGAATGGCTGCTTGTCCTTTTGATGATAGTATGCTCTTGCTCTCAGATCTATGTAAACA